CTTGGACTCAAACTGGAACACCTTGACGCCCACCTGCCAATCGTCTACTCCGAATGCTTCCCCATGCCCAAACGGTTTCAATATCATGACATCCATTGAACGCTGCCTCGAAGGAACTGGTCAACGAATGCAAGTGCAAGGTGGGAAAGCCGATGTCCTGAGCGGCTGTCGCAAAAACATGTCTGTGGGTTTTTGGGCGGTCACTTCGGCTGACAGTCCTTGGTTCGCACCCCGGGCAGCACATCGTTCGGGAAGTGCTTGCAACCCGCCGGGAAGTCCGGATGCTTGAACTCGGCGATCCTGGCGGATGGTGATAGGATGGAGTCGACGAAACTGGCTCTACACCCCTCGCAACCCCCCGAGTGCGAGCAGCCGGGCCTCACGGGGCACTTCTTCAGATCCCCATACTTCTTCGGAACAGAACTGCGCACGTCGGTGCCGGACTTCATGTCATACCTGCGAGTCACAGCCCAGCGGGAGCAACAGGACAAATATATGATCAGAACATAAAGGGCCATAGGGCCATAGGGCCATAGGGCAGGCCAAGCAACTGAATGCTGCACGCAGTCCCGAATTGATTCCGCTTCTCTTCGGCAGCATTCAAGGCCGGCCCCTGCTTGAATGCTTGCTCCATGGCAGCGCAAAGTCCCGTCGGATCGATGAAAGGGATCCTCGAGTGGATCCAAACTCTGCACTGTCCAGAGGATCGAAACATCCATCGAAACACATCCTTTGGTACAAGGCCATGACCAACACGAGGCGAAGCTAAAAATTTTGGCTGAGCCTCAGCGTCATGCCACCCCAGGGCACCTTCACACCATCCATGTCAACTACGAACTTCTCAGGGTAGAAGCCCCGGATGGGCGAGTCCTTTCCATCGAAAAGCCTTTGGAGGCAGCTCGGCAGCAAAACCTGGCCGGTCACAAAGCTGGCTATTCCCTCTCCGACCTGACAATGCAGCCTCCTGTTTGCCTTCGAATTGTTGGATCAAATGAAGGCTCCGGCATGACTCGGGAATGTGCATACACAGCCCGACCGGGGTAATGACCGCCTCAAAAAGCAAAAACGGTGTTCCGGCTCGGTCCGGTGTCCTTCCTTCCTCACTACGGTGCTCCATCCTTTCATCTCTTGACCTCACAAGCCGCTCTCGCCTTGGAGCTGGCCGGTAGCACCGCCATCAGCTGCTGGAAGGGCAGGAAGGGCCTGCCCAGCTCCAGCGAGATCTGGGGCGCCCTCACCCGGTCGTAGCCCGCCAGGTCCAAGGCCATGGGCGCGTGGTAGTACGGGTAGTACCAGCTCCAGGAGGCCTGGCTGGGGCCGCGGAAGTAGTAGCGCATCACCCAAAACAGGCCCTCCAGGTAGCTCTGGAAGAGCTGCCGCTGCCGCCTCGGCCAGAGCAGAATCAGGGAGCAGAAGAAGGGAAGCTTCCTACAAGTTACAAAAAACATGAGGAGACCCAAAGGAAGCATACCAATCACGGTCAAGGTGTCTGGGTCCCATCATAACTCCTCACATCCATGCCGAACTTGATGTCGTACCACTGCTCCCTTGCCAGCTCCGAGGTTGGAGGAGGTTCTATTGGAAGATCTGGAGTGTACTCTGGCGGTGTTGGTGCATCTGCCGGCCCCACCAAGCGCTGCTTTCCCAAAACGAACTCCTGCTCATCACAGGCTGCAGTCAAATGCCCGTCTTCCAGCTCCCCATACTTCTGCAGAAACTTTGCGAACCTCAGTGAGAGCCATGTATAAGTGCGCGACGACACACCCCAAATTCAAGAGCAGCGTGTTTTGATGAGCTGGCTTTGTGTTCATACTTGAGCAGGACATGGTTCGGATGGCACAGCCGTGACACGTGCGACGTAGTTGCCACTAGTGTTCAGTTTTTGGACCGGATGGGTTGCAAGAGCATCCGGGGTTTCAGGCATGTGTGCTTCCTACAAACACAAAACAAATCATGAAGGAACATGCCATTTAGATAAAGGACCATTTGAAAGGTTGCATTCGAGCATGTCAGGACCGTGATTATTTAAACACCGGTCATTTGTTGGGCGGTGCAAATGAAATCCCCGCAAAATAAACTATATATAATTTAAACGGCCATCACCTTACCTCGTTTACAAGGCCCGCATGCATACAAAAACAAAAGTCAACGCGTTAACCTCTGCAAGGATCAGGATCTACTTCCTTGCTGATAAACCACTGACATGAAGCGCAACTGCGCAAACTAACCGATAGTGCGAGAGTTGGCAACAGTGGGTGACTCGGTTGCATTTGACTATCTCTGCATTCCGCTGCACCAAGATGATTCGGGAGCTTCTCGCTGTTTGCCAAAGTAGGAGGTTGCCGTGCTTTTGTTTGCCATCTGAACTGGGTGAATAATCCCGGTTGGCAGGTGTTTCGCTTCTTTGGACCTGTGCAACAGGCAGAAATTGTCAGCGCTGGATGCTTGCCGCCCGGCGGCTGCTCGAAATCCACCTCGCCACAATCCTTCGTCAGCCATGGAGACGTGGTGGCCGAGGACAGGTGATCCTTGTACACGCGGAAGAGGTCGTCCAGGCCGCTCTCACCGATCTCGGCATAAGGGAGACACGGCAAGAAGTCGTTTCCCACAAGAACGCAGAAGAGGATGAAGTCATCGATGATGCGTTCCAAGTTGTACTCGAACTTGGGCATGCCGCGCGGCTTGAACTCTATGTCGAGGTACTCCCCTTGGCTGGCTCTGTTGAGGCGCGAATGAAAGACAAATGCACCATCTTGCAACGGCATCCAAGCGTCGAAGAAGCGAGATGTGCAGTAGCTGAAAGCGGTCTTTCGATATCAGCATCCGCTGCTCTGTGGTCTTGGTCTCCCGACGGCCAAACACCACCTGGCATGAAATGCTGGTTCACATTATCATGCCAGCCAGATTTGCCTCATTTGGCAGACACGTTGTTGCAAGGCATCCAACATATCTGTAGGGTGCTACATCTAGCAAAATAGTTGCTGCACCCTGCCACTCGTATCCAGCCTCCTCACGCAGCAAGGCGAAGTGGACTTCATGCGATGCTAGGGAGAGCATGATCAAGTCGGCATCCAAGCCGTACAAGCAGTGCCGGGTGTTGGGATCATGCCCTGGCTGCGCCTTCACGAAACACACGCGCATTGGGTGCAGTCTACATAAACGCTTTGCCACTTAAATCGTGGGGCATGTTGTGTAGCTGAACTGGGAAACGTACCTTTCCACCAGTTTTTGACCCTCAACGTTAGCCTTGGTTGTTCGAATATAGTCCATGATCTTGTGTTCGCCCTCTCCAGGTGTGTCGGGGCCCGACAGGACAATGGTGAATTGCTGCCACGACGGATCCTCCTGGCACATCCATGGCCCCCCCGAACCTTGCCCCTTCCTTTGTTTTGCTGCAACCAGAGAGTCCTGGACCTTCTTGCAAATGAAAAAGCGCAGGTGCTCGGTGAGCTTGGCCATAAACTCTGTGCCTCCAAAAATTCGCGATCTCGACTCGCTGCGCGTCGAAATCAAGCTCATGCGAGAAGCCCGAAAACGGCCATGCATCTGGACTTCAGCCTGGAGTGATGCAATTCGAGTCGAAGTGCGGCCCTGAGGTGTCCTGCCAGCCGTACGGAGCTTGCCACTCAAGTGCCGAGTGATTGTCAGCGAGCAGCACAACACCACTGGTGCCAGAATCGTGGGCACGAGGCACGATTCAGCACATCCACACCAGCATCGAAACACTCACACTTGTTCCATCGCTTGCACCCGCAGCATTGCTCTGTTCAACTGTGTTCATGCCTTGCTCAACACTCACCAGCGTATGCACAGTTGTCCTCATTGTACGTTGACAGCATGACTTCATTAAACTGACTGCGTTGCCTGTACCATCTGCATTGCTGGTATTGCCTGGCTCGCCCCCATGTGAGACCAAATATCAAACATGTCTGGGCTCCAATTATGTCCCCTGTTGTTTTTTTCTTATGACCGTCAAGCGATGCTCAGGCTGGCTATTGCTGTCACCGGATGTTCTTCCACATGCACAAGGTCCGGGAACCCGCATGCACTCCTCCCCCATCTCGGCTGCCAGCTCCCTCGCCTCCCGCGCATCGTTGGCAGCTCGGAAGCGGCGCGAACCTCGGCTCCGATGGCTAAAATCGATCGCATCATCAGGCGGGCGGTTGCTCCGTTGGGGTTCCCGGGGCTGGGACGCTGCTGGTTCATCTTGGCGCGGGGAGCGCAGCCATCCACCGCCATGTACAGCAGCTTCTTTGGCTGAATGATCTGAACCAAACGACAAATGTAGCTGAAGGCTTCCACAAACACGTCGCTCTCCTCCTTGACACAAAGGCCTGAGAAGGTGCTTGTCCAGTGTGGATGTGGAGTAAGATGAACATGCCAAAGCAGCACAGCCCTGATGCCACATTAGTCTTGGCAGCATAAGCGTGTTTGCTGGGCGCGTGGAACAGCTGATCCCGCCTCCTGTATTGTTGTGGGAGCAGTTGTGAATAATGCCGTTCATGTCCAGGTACAAGTTGTCAAAGTCTGGGATCTGTTCCGCCGTAATATTCTCATTTATCAGAGGGTATCGCTCCTGAGCATTCACAGGGATGTCACGACGAATGCATTGAGCGTGACAAGTCCGCAATACTATCTGCTCCCGCATGCAACCAAGAATCTGAAAGCCATCGGTAGAAGCGCGGAATGCCCATGATGTCACAGCAACTACCGTCACAGGGCTACAAGAACTTGGGAGGCAATTTTACCTGGCCCACGTCATAATTCTCCGAACAGAAATGAGCTCAATTTCATGTGTGGCAACGTGCGAAAGCAGTTTAAAACAGTTTGCTTGCTTCACTTATCTGACAACTTTCACTGTTGCCGGCTTGTTGAGACACCTGCACAACTCGCACATGTGACATCTCACGTCACAAGCAGTGACTCAGCAGCTACACACTCACGGACGGCCCAACGGCGCAACACCCTCCGCTCCCCCCCCAGTGCTTGGCTGGCTGTACCTCAGCAGGCTCCTCCTCCGCCATCAGGCCTCCCATGGGTCCAAACGGGTTGCAAGCAAACAGCGCGGCACCGCACCCCGAACCGCCTCGGGCGCTCGCGGTTCGGGCGACGCGCTTTGGGCGCCCGAAGGCCGAGCCGGGACTGTGGGATGGAGTCGAAGCACCGAGGGACGTGCGCCATAATCAAAACCTGGGACATGAGTCTATAATGGCCTACCGAAACCATGCCGAAAACTTGAAAGGGCGGCCGCGCCTATTCATAGCTGGGGCTATATATATATATATATACATATATATATATGGTCACCCCCCCCCATGATCCACACCCAGAGTGTGGATGCAAGCAAACACTGTAAAATAGTGTTTTCTATGCGTTTTATACATGTTTTGCATGATCAGATTCTGACCAGATTCTGATCAGGGTGTTATGAGACATAAGCTGAAGCAGAGCGCAGTTGATTTTTTTGTGGCATGTGACGAAGCAGACTGTTTGGATTGTTTGCAGATATATTTTCAAGATAAGGCACGCTGATTGCTACATGGCTTTCAGATGAAGCAGACTGAGCTGAAGCAGATGGACTTTCATCTTCCATGCAATTTCAGAACCTCTCAGCATTTTGTGCTTCCAGGTGCTCCAAGTGCTGTGCTGTCCCTAAACAACCTAGCTTTGGACTTGCTCAAGGCTAGGTTTTTTAGGGACAGTACAGCAGTCCCTAAAAAACCTAGCCTTGAGCAAGTCCAAAGCTAGGTTTTTTAGGGGCAGTACAGCACTTTGAGCACCCGGAAGCACAAAGTGCTGAGAGGTCCCTAACAAAAAGCCTTTGAGAGCTTGGACAGTTAATAATTCCATTAGCAAGCAGTCTTGTCCAACCTTATTTGGCCATGAGGTTGTTGGCCTCGAAGGTGAGCTCGGCCCAGGCTCGTGGCTCCATTGTTCAATGGCCATAGCTACTTCCTTGGGCAAAGTCCTAATAAAAGGACCTGACATGCCTAAGTTTGCCTTAAAACAAAGTGAACAAATGTGCTGGGCCAACAGCTGCAATTAAGCATTCAGACCAAACCATGACAGTTATTCATGCTAAGTTGGCTTACATGTTTGATTTTAAGAAGATACCAGTTTGCATATCAAGAAGTATGTTTAACTGCTTAGCACTCAGATGTTTTGCAGATTCTACCAGGAAGCAGATGGATGAAGTTGTTCTTTGGAGCTTGCAGTTTGTGAAGCAGAAGGTTGGGCCTACATAGCAGAAGGTGTGGGGCATGGAAAATGTGGATCATGGGGGGGGGGGGAGCATATAGATATATATACATATATATATATATATGTATGCATATGTACATGTATGTCATGTATCCCTTACTGACCTTCATTTACCCCGGTGTTGATTGTGGCTCGATTCATGAGACGCATCACTTTCCTCTCACATTTTCCTCGCCGTCAGCTCAAGCCGGACTCATTCCGATCCATCCAGACGCTCAATCCTGGTGCATGCCACGGGCAAAACAAGACTTTGATACACCAGTAGACCACACATCCCCAATACAAACGCAAGCAAAGCCGATTCACCCGGCCGAACCTCGCCGCCGCCAATCTTACGTGTGTAGATCATCTGCTTGCTGGACCTGAAGCAGCAGTTGCACGCAGGCAACATCGACTGAAGCGCTCGCAAGTTATGCATCTGAAGCGCTTCTCGCCGACATGCACGATCATGTTCTTCTCCTGGCTCTTAGACACGTGCAATCGTCTGATTGTGACCGCCCTGAGCATTGCCAAACGAGTCCAAAGCTTCCTCAAAAAAAAATCGCGAAGACAACCCCTTGAACAGCAGCTACATGCCCAAACAAAATCCTCATCAATGGGCGTGTGGACGACGTGTGGACGTGGACCCATCAGCTTCGATCCCCGCCAAACGGCCGCCAAACGGCCGCCCCGAGCCGCCCCGAGCCGCCCCGAGTCGCCCCGAGTCGCCTCCAGGTGGCGGATCGCCTGCCGTGCCACGGAGCCGTTCACCTTCAGCCGCTCGCTGACCACCGAGGGCGTGATGAGCCGGGCCTGGCTTGCGGCTTCCGGGTGACAAAACCCGCGAGGGCCGGGGGAGGAGGAGGGGGGGGGAGGGAGGGGGGGAGGGGAGGGAGGGGAGGTTGGAGCATTCAAGGCTTCCAACAGGAATGGCTGCGCTAAAGCTGGATGGTCAAATTCTCATGGCCGTGGCAGAGGGTCAGTGTAGTGTCGTCTGAGATGCCTCTGCCAGCTCGGTGTTTGTAGCAGAGTACAATATTTGTCCTAAGACTCAAACCCGTGAGATGGTTGCCTTTGGGGACTCCAGTTGCCCTCCCCAAGCATGTTGTCAGACTTGCTGTTATGCAAAAAGCCGGGAATGGACACCTTGGTTGCAAGCCAGGTTAGATTTCATTCTTTGCATCACAAATATCTGACAGAAAAGTGTGTTTGAGGGGTTTTGCTAGATGCGCACTGGTCTCCCTGTCTCTCACTATCTATCTATCTCTCTTCTCTCTTTCTCTCTCTCTCTCTCTCTCGCTCTCTCTCTCTCTCTCTCTCTGTCTCTGCATCACTCACCAAAAGGTGCAGTCGCAAATCCTGGCTGTCAAGCAAATGGTGTCTGCCATGATCCACACGGCGCTGTGATGATCCCCTCCAATTGCATGCCTGGTTGACTTCAATTTGGAGGTTGCCTTTTGCCGTCCAAGACATCAGGCTCGCAGATTTCCGAACCAGAAACAATAAAGAAAGAGCATCAGATAAGGCTTGCCCGCAATGGCCCCCAAAGCTTGAAAACCTTGCCGCCAGCCTTGGGGATTTCCTTCAGCATCTTGTCATAGGTTGCCTCACCAAGGGTGTTGCAAAGGTGTGAACCGCCATGAAAGGTGCTGCTTCCCGCCTTGTCGAACATGACCAAGTTTGCGAGCTTCTCCTTAACCTGCGCTTCAAGGTTGCATCGGAAAGGCAAAGGGCGGAATCTGGGTGCGCGTGGAGCTTGCCTTGCCCTTGGCCCACTTCTTCTTGCGCGACTTGCCGCCGGCCATGGCCGCCTTCATCTTGGCCTCCTTCGACTTCTGCACCTAACGTCATCTGGGCAACTTCCAAGGCATGGGCTACACATGGCGGCTGTCTGACATTCCTTGCTCCCGAAAACACCATCCTCGCGGAAAAATACCTCTCGTGGAGCTTTCACGGGAATAACTTCACAAAATATGTTTCTTCCTCTTCGCAAACCGCCCTTGTGCGAAGCTTTCGCGGGGAAAGGAAAAACTTTGCGACTTCCATCGCGAGGCTTGGAGGTCGCGAAGCTTTCGCAGAGGGCAACACCGGTTTCCCCCTTCATATCTGAGTACAAGGGCCTGTCGGACGACTCCCACGTAGCTCCACGGGTGTTTCGGATGCTCTCATGGCAATCACATGAAGTGCGACCCATTTTAACTGCAGTCTTGCCAGGAAAAACACCTCGAAAAGAGTCCTGCTGACAAGAAACAAGCCTTGCCCGCATCGAGGATGCATTTCGGTATGCAAAGACTGAAATGACTTGTGCGACAATCACATTCCTCTTCGGACTCCACTGCCACATTGATGCTGTGACTTGCCCGGAACGGAAAACGCCGCCTAGCTAAGTCCAGCGCAACCTTGTTGGCCCCCATGCTGGGCACAAGCCCTCACTACTGGCCTGCTTGGATCTGCGCAGGTCACGGCTGGCGGCACACGGAGGGAACCTTTTGGAAGCACCCGGAGGTCGCAAGTCAGAAACATTCACCACCGTTTTAGGTGCAGGTGGTTCAGGCGTATTGGCTCCGCGGGAAAAATGGACAGCACCCCAGTGACACCGTGGAGCCACGGAATCACCTGTTTCTGCCTTTGGAATTGCTTGAGCATGAAGCAAAAACCCTATTAGATCTCAAGTTTCATCTGAACAAGCCAAAAGGGAAGAAACTAGGCATGCGCTGCTGGGGAGCTTGCATGAAGTATCTCCAAAACTAAGCTTGTCCTCGCACACCTCTCCATGAAACCGATACAATGCCGCTCCCATAGCCTGATAGACTGACAGCCTAATATACCTCATGCACCGTAGTGAATCAATGCATGCCTTGAGATTTCTTGTCTCTTGAATGAACCAAGAACAGAGCGGCTCAAACCAACAACCTTAGAAAAAAAGAAGAAAAAAAAAGAACAAAGCCCACCAGCAGTTCCAAGTCTGTCGCTTGACTGCAAAGCACCCTTTTCTCCTCCACCAGGCTCTGTTGAATCCCGCTTAGGCGGTCTTAGTCCTGGATGGGCCAAACAAGCAATCGGTCATCAACAAACATGTAAAGCTGCTGCCACCCACGATGCAAAGACAATACTTGGATGGTGGGTCACGCCTCTCCGCCGCCAATCTTGCGTGTGTAGATCATCTGTTTGCTGGACCTTCCCATAAGTCGCTGCAAACAGCTAACCCTCCTTGAACAATGCAATCAAGGGACTTCTCGCCGACGTGAGCGATCATGCCCTTCTCCTGCATGCCAGCAAAATCGGGCTGGCAACAGGACGAAAGAAGCAAAAAACTGGCATGTTGAGACAAGTAGCGCTTGCATCCTGCAGTAAAATAAGCCACAGTACACTGTCCTCGAGGTGACGGATCGCCTGTCTTGCGACAGAGCCGTTCACCTTGAGTCGCTCGCTCACCACCGAAGGAGTGATCAGTCTGGCCTGCAGGTGAAGAACGGGCTGTTAACAGTAGGCTGGGAGTTGCTCAAGGGACATTCCTCGACATTGGATTGTGTGCGTGCGCCCATGTTTGAAACGCCTTGGGAATCTCCTTGAGCATTTTGTCGTAGGTCGCCTTGGGCACGCCACTGAGCAATGATGCTCACTGACTTTGAAAGCAGGAAGTGACACTACGCGCATGGTCCTTTGGATCATGTGAGACAGTCAAAATATGCGGCTACCACAAAGGACATGAAAAAATATGTGAAATTGCAAGACTGATCATTTCAACCGTCCTTATGGCTTCAAATCTCCAGAAAGATGCCCAGCATACATTCTTCGTATTCCTGAGCTTCTGGCCTTGTCGAACATCACCAAGTTTGCCAGCTTCTCCTTGACCTGGCAGTGCCCATTGCCCAACCGCCATGTTGGTTTGTGGCAGTGAGCAAGGCATATGGCAATGAAGAGGCAAGCCCGGGCCTTGCCCTTGGCCCACTTCTTCTTGCGCGACTTGCCACCGGCCATGGCCGCCTTCATCTTGGCCTCCTTCGACTTCTGCACCTGGGAAACCAGCATCAGAGGCAAGACACCCCCAAGCAGTGAGGCCCTCACGACCTTGTTCGCACCCATGGTGATGAATGCCCCCCCTTCTGAGGGCAGCGTGCGGGTTTCAAAGCCCTTTTTGAGCCAAGATGACAGACGTCAAACAAGGCAGCCAACAGGCAAACAAAGAGTATATATTGTATAACACATTTCAGGGTTGCGCCGACTCCATCCGCGGAATGTCTCAAGCAACTGTGCCGCTTGATGTCTTACAAGCACGCCCGTTGATTCCTCAGTCTTCATTGTTGCGTAGTGCTGGCCTACGTGCGGCTTGCGCCTTCTTTGCGTTCTCAGACATTGAACTTTGGGCTCACTGCAGACTTATGGCATGCCTGATGCAGGCGTTTCAACTCACGTCCCTGGACAAAGAGCCCAGCCGTAAAGCATTTCGATCCTTGGCGAGAATCTCATTTCTTTTCCTGCTCAATTGATCTCGCGAGCAAACGAAACGCTCTTCAACTCCTCCATGCTGCGTGTGTGCGCGCTCGTGCTTTTGCAAGATGATGGGCTAGCGGAGGGCGGGACAGTGTGGGATGGTGGTGGAGGGCGGAGGGTAGTGCAGGTGGGAAGATGTTCACGTTTGTTGCTTTTGCTACAAAAGAAAGTCTGCTCTCATGTCACAGAATTCACCGTGATACTCAGTGATTCTCGCTCTAACAGTGTGCTTGTCCAGTGGCTCTAACAGCGTGCTTGTCCAGTGTGTGGGTGTGGAAATCATCTCACTGTGGTAACATTAATCTCAATGCCGGTCAAACTAGCATCGATAGAAAAACCCACAGAACAAAGCCCACCAGTAGTTCCAAGTCTGTCGCTTGACTGCAAAGCACCCTTTTCTCCTCCACAGCCTCTGTTGAATCCCGCTTAGGCGGTCTTAGTCCTGGATGGGCCAAACAAGCAATCGGTCATCAACAAACATATAAAGCTGCTGCCACCCACGATGCAAAGACAATACTTGGATGGTGGGTCACGCCTCTCCGCCGCCAATCTTGCGTGTGTAGATCATCTGTTTGCTGGACCTTCCCATAAGTCGCTGCAAACAGCTAACCCTCCTTGAACAATGCAATCAAGGGACTTCTCGCCGACGTGAGCGATCATGCCCTTCTCCTGCATGCCAGCAAAATCGGGCTGGCAACAGGACGAAAGAAGCAAAAAACTGGCATGTTGAGACAAGTAGCGCTTGCATCCTGCAGTAAAATAAGCCACAGTACACTGTCCTCGAGGTGACGGATCGCCTGTCTTGCGACAGAGCCGTTCACCTTGAGTCGCTCGCTCACCACCGAAGGAGTGATCAGTCTGGCCTCGTAGTATCCCGGCTAGCGTTGACAGGGTGAATGAAAGCGTCTCGTGCTGCATTTACAACACTTGTGTGCAAGATGAAGGAATGGCAACAGTCGAGACCTTGGGAATCTCCTTCAGCATCTTGTCATAAGTGGCCTGATTCACAGAGACATGGACACATCTACAGTCCAAGACATGCAAAGGCCGTTGTCTTGCGGGGCCTTGTCAAACATGACCAAATTCGCCAGCTTCTCCTTGACCTGAAAGTTGCAGCGGATACGATACCTCAAGTTTCATGTTTGATTTAAGGCCAGAGGGAAACATTGTATCAGGAATAGGACAGCGCTAAGGTCTCAATCGCATGCGGCACACCTCGCCTTGCCCTTGGCCCACTTCTTCTTCCGGGACTTGCCACCAGCCATGGCCGCCTTCATCTTGGCCTCCTTGGACTTCTGCACCTCACGGCCACTCCCTTTCCCAACGCAGCTGGCTCGGGTTGCGGAGTGCTTGTGCCGGCGCCCCGTCTTGAGTCCATTACCGGAAAAGGCAGTCTCTTTTCGCTGGGCATCCTGCCACCTTGTTCGCACCCATGGCTGCAGGTGCAAATGCAAACTTCCGAGCCAAACTATGGGCTCGCCGGGCCCCCTGTCTTCCAACCTTCCTTGGCCACATGAAAAACCCTGACCAATCAATTAGCATCAGGGATCCGTAGGTTTCATAGCATCGGGTCAACAAGCATTCACATGAAAGGTACTGCAGGTGAAAACCTGTTCGATGCAGCAGGCCTGCCAACATGAATTCCATGTTCTGACCGTTCATCGGACTCTTCTCCAGTTCGCACGATGTGCATGCGTCACAAGTCAATCCTACAGGTGCTGCTTGCCTATGGCTTGCAGCACCAAACTGATCCCATCTCAGACGGGAGAAAGAAGCGACATGCGCTTCACTAGCCCTCACTTTCTGAAACTTCTCCGATTCGCATCAATGCCCTGAGTCGCACTTCTGTGAGCTGAAAACAAGACAATGAATCTCAAGCCCTGCCTTCTGTTGCTTGTTGTTGTAGTCCCCAGTAATTGCAAAGGCACAGTTCAAGATACGACCGCTCACCTGGCTGCAGACACCGTTCTGAAACTGAACGTGAGCGATTCTGGGGCACAAGGGTTGGGGGCTTCTGCACCCGGAGCTGTTCCATTGAGAAATGCTTGAGGGCCTGAGATTAGAAGCAAGGGGAACTTTGCTGAAGTGCTTCGCGGTCGAACTTGGCTTTAAGCCTGTCATTCTTTTCTAAAGGGCCATCGAGTGTCGCTTTGACGCCCGGCTCTTGGCAAGGGCAGGGAGCAAGCAGACTCCAGCCAATCCTCCGAATATGTGCACAAAGCCTTGCCTGCCGCCCCCCAGCCAATTTGAACGGCCCCACCACAAGGCCTTCTGCCCAACTTGCTCAGTCCAAAGGACCGCCGAACAACAAAAAAGAAAACAGGAAAGCCCCCCCAAGCGACCCGGAACTCCGAACCGAAAAAAGTCGCAAGGCCTCCCCCCCAATGCAGTCACGGCGCCGGCAGCTGCGCCGCCCGGAAGCGCTCCAAGAGCGGCAGGCCCAGATGCTGCCTTTTCGGGATACGTTCTGTTTTTCCTAGGGGGCTCCAAGGTTGGCAAAATCGGCATGGCTTGAGGGTGACCCCAGTCAAGGTGAAGGTTCAGGCTGGCTTTCTCCCTTCCTTTCCGGTCCGAAACCTCTACGTACTGCTGCACAAATGGGGGCACACCACAACCTAGCAGCAGCCACCCCCTTTCTAAAAATATGAGGATAACATTTGAGGTCTTCTCGTGCATACCCCTGTGCTCCGCCTCATAAAGGACTTGTTTGTGAGATGCATTGCTTGCGGAGATGCTGTTTGCTGCGAGGTGGGCTCCGCGAGCTACTGCTGCGGCTCCTGCTGCGGCTCCTGCTCCTGCTCCTGCTCCTGCTCCTGCTCCTGCTCCTGCTCCTGCTCCTGCTCCTGCTGCTGCTGCTGCTGCTGCTGCTGCTGCTGCTGCTGCTGCTGCTGCTGCTGCTGCTGCTGCTGCTGCTGCTGCTGCTGCTGCTGCTGCTGCTGCTGCTGCTGCTGCTGCTGCTGCTGCTGCTGCTGCTGCTGCTGCTGCTGCTATGACTGTCGCGTTCTGATGCAATTTGAGTCAGAATCAAAACTTGGTCTTCAGATGGTCTACCCAGAGCCACGTAAATAATATGGCGTCTGTATCCATTTATGGTTGCGATGATCCTTTGCTAACAGGCATCTACCCGGGCTTTGATTGTGGCTCATTTGGGGGCATCTGCCGTTTCCAACAATGCAACCATGTGCCTGAGAGTGTGGTGGCCATCAAGCGAGAGTGGAAGTGTCAGCACCACGCGGCCTGAGTCCCTTCTGCGCAATGGCGGAGAACAATGCCTGTGGGTGTAGCACGCTCTTGAAACGCGAAGCGTTCATGTCCCTCACACCACTTCTGCACCTCCAGGCACTCCATGCCGACACACCTCACAGCCGTGCTTGAAGGGTATCACGCGCGGCGACTTACGCAAAACAAGACCAAGGCACCGCAGAAAAACAGCTTGGTTTGCTTGCAGCCATGGCGAGCACTGCTCAAAGCCCCTTCCTGGAACTTCAACGAACACAGGCACAAACGATTAGTACCTGCATTTGGCTCCTGCACAAAACACTCTTATGATACTGGGATGGATTTTCGAATGCATTTGTCAATGGGTTTGCCAAGGGATATCAGACAAAAGACTAACTTGCACTGCCTGTCTGGCAGGTGCGGGACTTGCTAGGGATCCAGGTTTCACAAGGAGATGTCAGTGGGGTCTTCACACAAAACAAAATTGGACAAATAAGTCAGTTTGATATACGCTTGACACACAACTGTGAAGGCGACTTGGCGCTCGGCCACAGATGCTTTTGGTGAATGCTCAGAAGAGATGCAGAAAATGCGTGCTGCACATCAAGAGTTGCACTAGAGGAGAAAACCATGGTTAGTTGCTGAAGAAACTTCAAAAATGAGAAGCCTTACAACTGCTTTCAACCTCAGATTCTTGGCATGTCTCTACCAAAACACCACAAGCGTTCGCCTGGTGAGGCCAGCAGGCTTGCTATACCCTAGTGCACAGCTACGTTTTCCTTCCACACATGGATAGCCGTGAGGCGTCCAGCATGAATCTATGCAGCACGAAACGTCCAAAAGTTCCCATATAGGTCCGGGGGCATGCTGACCACGCATTGCACACATGCCACCCAGGCGCATCCCGTCGGAAGGCTTGCAATCCGTATCCGCATTGCCCCCCAATCCATACACCTGACAAGCAACAAGAAAAATGCGAGAAACTGGCTGGGCTTGGTGCTATCAAAACAACATTTCACACAAGGGAACATGAGTATCATCCTATCTGCAGTTCAATGGACAGCGTCCATGGCTGTGATACATCGGATAATACGTCACCAAGGACACCCAATGCGGTATGCCACGGGATACCACGGGGATACCCCAGAAATTCCGGACGCCGATACATCCGCCCTCATGTCCCCTCGTCATTTCCGTAATTTGCCTGGTCCACCAGCTTCACGGCTTCCTGGAGCCAGCCGTGCTTCACCAGCCCTGAGATCAGCACCTCGCCGCCGTGCGAGAGGGGTTCTCACGACGACGAGTTGATCGTTGAAATCGCGCCTGGTACACCTTGCTGTCTACCTGGGATGCAGTCGGACATAGTTGCGAGAGGAAATCATCAGGAGGTTAAGCTATTGTTGCCAACTTGGCTCCCTGCTGGGTGGCCATTTGCTCGCATGTCCGCCAGAACCTCGAGTGCCTGCCGCTTGCTTGTTGGAGCGCAAACCGCCACTGGCCGAGAGCCAGCCTTGTCGGGCGCATCGTTGTTGAGACACGAGCACAAAAGGCACATCCAAACCTTCCAAGCTGCCAAGCTCTTACGCTCCCGCATGACATGTTGGGCATCAGATCCTTTGGATCCTCAAATGGCGCTCGAATTCTCTTCCACTGTGAAAACAAGGTGTGCATCATGTTTTTTTCACATGCTGGCCGACAGCTCTTACACTCCTTGCTCAAAAGGCAAGGAAAAGTCTCTTGGGCTCTCTTACACCGTCCGCTTCCCTCTCTGCCTTTTCCTCTCCTGCCTTTCTACTCAAACCCGGGATCGACTCTGAGGGCTCTGAGGTCGAGCCTGCTGATTGGGCACAAAGTTGCCAAGCTTGGGCAAGGTCTCCATGATCTCAAAGACCTCCAGCTACAACAAGCATCTCTAGAGCTGACTCCCACACAGCGTTCCATGCTGGGGTCGGAATTCAATAAGGATGGAGAGGCGCGGTAGATTGTTGGGTGCTGAGTACTGGGTGAAAGCTGGGTGGAGGATGGGTGGATGGGTTGGTGGCGGTGGGTGGCAGGTTGCTTGTTGTGCAAATAGAGGTCTTACTGATGGGATGGTAGGCTTGCACAGCATGAGCGCAAATTGCTGCGTCAAAGGCACTTTATCCAGCTGTTTGGCTCGGGCGAACGTCTTCACCAGGATGCCCAAAGTGAAGTTTGTCCTGATTGGCCGGCTGGTGTTTGCGGGTCTTGGGTGGGCCTCATGTCCTCCCCAAACCAACACACTTGCTCATGCAATTGTCATGTTTCAGTGCATTTGAGAACATTGCTCTTTTATTCCAGGCATGGTATTCACCTCTAAAACATAGGCATCCATGCAGCTAGAACATGTGTGACCTTCATCAACACAGCTACCGACAGCACCCCGATCGCCAACGCTAGATCTGTTAAACCAAGACCAGCTGCGGAGAGATGTCGTGAGCCACCATGTCCTCCAGGCTGTGTCGAGTGACACCAGAGTCGAAAATCCCTCACTGTCTAAGGATGTAACTTGCAAAAGGCGATGTTACTTTGCTTTGCTCTAACTTGTGTCAAGCGATCTGGAATTCCAGCTTGTCTACTCTCAGAATGTTGTACTGTCTATTGTTGAAACAGTGCCGATGTCACATGATGTCGGTGCTGGAATTTATTGCCTGCTGGGTCTCTGGCGTGCAACCAGGACGGACGGTAGCACTTGTGGCCAGCATTTCTCATAAGCAATTGCAACTTGGTATTACCCGCTCTAATGTGCATCTGTTGGCTGTCATGCTTGCACAACAGCCAAAACAAAGCACACTCTACTGTAGAACATTTCTATTGCTAATGGGTAATGGCACTCTGTGTGTGTGTGTGTCAAAGTTTGCAGAAACACACGCAGCAAATCAAATTTGCAAGTAGCCGCACACGTCATCATCAAAGTCCTTGACAAAAACCATGACAGTAATTGTGCTCACATGAGACGCAGAGGGTCCTTCAAGAGCTTGTCAACCAAGTCCAGCCGACTCTGCTTGGAGCATGCATCAAGGCAAGTGTTGTACACAACCGCATCGTGCTCCATCTTGCATTCCTGCCACTCTCCCCGCAGGTGTACGTCCGTGAAACGAGCCTCTTTGGGGTGACCCATCCACCATTCTGTGCCTGTGCCAAGCACCTTGACTTGTAATGGGACCACGGGTACCCGTAATAGCTGGCGCCTGTCTCTTTCAACAGAAATGCCTGATGACTCCCGACGGGTGAAATCCTCATTCGCCCAGCATCGTGAAAATGGATGGGCGGGGGGTGTCCTTTTCCTTTTGAAGATAAGTCTGCGCTTCTGGGGATCTTCCATCAAAAAGGGCAACCGACATGTGCCCTCAATACCCTCGTGCTCGGACCTGCATGCTGCGGATGGTGGCCATCGCGCTTTCCAGCTCTCCTCTGACACAATATGCCTTCACCTCAGCCAAGCACATGCTCTGTCCCCGAAAACCCAGGTATGCAAAGGTACATGAGTGTGTTTTCTTTTTCGGGGACCCCGCAAGAATGGAAACCAAAAACAAGATTTCCCCTAAACAAACAAACCGACATGCAATGCAAAAGCCGCCTAAGCATTTCCACAAGGTTCTCGCAGAAGTCTTTGCTCTGAGAAACAGTGAAATAATGTTGCGGTTGAATCATCCACTTTAAACACCCAAAACAAGCCAGGCCGTGCCCTGCCACTCAGTTGGAACACAGCCAAGATGCAATGACTGAATGTGTGATGCTGTCTGGCTTGACACCTTCCTCAGCCATCACTTTGAGAATCTCTGACACTTCCTGGCACTTGGCAAGGCAGATTCTTGATTCTGAACTCCTAACTCACATGTCGCTGTGATCTTGCACTCTTTCAGAGAATTGGCTTGCGCAGCACAACAATTTGTAAGTAACGTGTGCAGTGTTGCTCCTCCATGTTGCCAGCACGAGCCTCAGGTAAGGCGCGCTCACAGAAACACCTCAGACTTGGCCTTGCAACTCACAAGAAATCCCGTGCCTGCGAGTCAATCACAGAGTTGTAGCCCACAGTGTTCATCTGCATGCCTTTCTGCCGTGTCTCTCGCCAAAGATCCATGGCTCCTGGCCACGACCAGCAGGCATTTGAAAGAGTGGGCAGATACTGAAGGCAAGCTGCGTTGCGGCTGGTGCGTATTGGCAAATCCCTTGAACAGAATCGAATACCTCGGTACCAGGCCAGTGCGCTTTAGTGGCTTAGCACATTCCGGGCAAAGCTACCATGACTTACTGCAGAAACGCTGCAGCACCATATTGGGCGGAGAGGAATCATACTCCGCGAACAAACGCTCTGCATCATCCACCAACCCGTTGCTCACCAGCGCATCCAACATACAGCCGATGACGATGTGCGTCGGTTTGAGACCACGCTGATCGATCATCTCTCTCCAGTATGCCCAGCACTTCTCGGGGCATCTCAAGGTGCCGTAGGCCTTGATGATCGACCCATAGGTGGGCGTGGACGGCCGCAGCTTGGACTTCTCAAAGAGACACAGCATGGATTCCAAGCGCTTGGTCTCCCGGTGACGGGTGCAGGTCTCCAGCACAGTGTTGAGTAGAATCTCATCTTGGCAAATGTCCTCACCAAGGGTGCCATCCCTTGCAGTTAGTGACAATAAGCCAACTCTCAAGAATTGCCAACTCAGCGCATCCCAGTTTATTTTGGTCAACAGTTTATTGAAAGATTGAGAGCTGCTCAACACAAAAGTGCTTCAAGCAGGCTGCTTGTAGGAATGGCAACTAAGCACAGGTCGACGCCAGAACGGTCCAAGAGCGCAAAGCACCGCGCAACATGAGAGTGCCCCCCCTTGATCTTCTTCAGCGCTTTCATCATGATAGAGACAGTGTAGTGGTCTGGCCGAACACCTGCTGCTTCCATGGTGTCAACGATCGCCCAAGCCTCTAAGAAGTTGCTTCGAATGACTGCCGCATTGACCATGGAGTTGTAGGAAACATCGTTCGCCTTGATCCCTTCGGCCTCCATCAGCTGAATCATTGCCTTGGCTGCTTTCAGGTCTCCCTTGCTGCACCAGCCTTTGATGAGAGTGTTGTAGGTGATAATGTCCACCATCTTTCGCTCCCGCATCTCCTTCATCAGCTCCTGCGCCCGCTTGAGATCCCCGGACCGGACGCACGCGTCCAGCACGCAGTTGAAGGAGGCCACGTCCGGCGCCAAGGAGCTGCACTTCAGGCGCTCGAAGACGGCGAAGGCGCGGTTCACGTCGCGGTCGCAACCCGCAGAGCGGATCAAGGACATGTAGTGCTGGATGTCCAGCGTCGGCACCTTGTCGGCCAAGTCCTCCAGCAAAGAGTTCCGGCCGCACTCCACGGCGAACTTCATCAGGCAGCCATACCTGCGATGCAAACAAAAAATGCGCGCGGCTCTGGGGATGTGGCTTTCGCGAGATGGTGCCAGGTTGCATCATGGCATCGGGCTCGATCTTGTCCTTCTGAATGTCCTCATAAAGGTCGCACGCCTTGTCATACAACCCCGAGAAGGCATACACCTTCATGAGGGAGCTGTAGATGGACAAGGTCATGACCTCCGGGGCATTGGCTAGGGAACGCCTAGATTCTCCAACCCATTCATGCGAGAGAGCACTGGTTCCCACCAACCATCCCTCGGTTGATATCTCGCATTCGGGCCCTTGCAGCTTCAGACATTATTCCGGAAATGACATACTTTGCAACCCCACGACCGCGCATTCCCTTTTGTGTTGATAAAAGCTCCAGGGGAATCAAATATCTACCCTTGAGCTCTGATCCCGTCATAGAGGCACGGAACAACCCCGTTTCAAATTTAACAAACCATAGAGTGAAACTTTAGCCACAGGCCACAACAAAGCCTTTTTGAGTGGCAGAACGTGGCTTGATTCAAAACTGGGTTCAGAAAAATAACGAACCACCAAGCCAGGCATCTCATTTGCATCTCACTTGTCAACAGCTCGAAATCATTTGACGTCATTCAAGGGCCTTGGAGCTGCGGCAGTACTTCACCACCTCTTCTGCCAGACTCAAGAACTTGCTCTCGGCACAGCGCGCCAGCAGACTCACGCAGAACGCCTCGCTGATGCTGCCCTGGCCTGATGCGTTGAGATCAAACCCCAAAGCAGCCGACATCCTTTTGAGGCAAAAGACGAAGGCCCTCTCTTAACATTTCCACACTGGCCCGACTGATTGCGAGTATCCATTAATGACGCCAGTCTGCACGGCTCTTTGCCGAGTTCGCCAAGATGCTTTGCATCTCGTTGAATACATGAATGGCTCTGGAATGGCATTTCAGCCTTGCCGCGACTGCTTTCAGGCTTTTCGCACAGTCCAAAATGCCACGATGAATGCTTCCATGTGCTGCTGAGACGCGTGTAGAGCTTGACTAACACGTCGTACAGTGTGGCCGGAAGAGGCGTCAATACTGATCGAGCAGTATGTTCCACCTTGAGGGTACGATCAAGTGGCAAAATTATATCTGAATGTCTTAGTTCATCTGCGCGACGAGTGGTGCTTTGCATTAAGGCAAGCACACACATACAACAAAACTTGCATTGACATATTGTCGCTGCCCTGTCCATGCCTCCTCAGCGAGGGTCAGGTTTCCAGTGCGCGCACAATCCTCCAAAATGACGCCAAAGGCTTCGGAGGACATATCCAACTCGCTCTGCACGGCTGCAAACATTTCCGCCGATCGCCCGGCCTGACGGATCATGCAAGTTCCCCCATGTGCTAATGCTTTTTGTGTATCCATTGAAGAGGCACCGTCGCCCCAGTCGCCCCAGCCAGACAATGAAACCAGCAGTAGCTGCTAAGTGGCTGTGAAGCATTTGACACCGACACCCAACTCAAGGAGACACTGGGCCATATTTAATATTCCGACTGCCACTGGTCCCTCAACACTACCGGAGTTGATCAATCCTACTTCTAGCTATGCGTCGTACCTGCATCACATCCATTCAAGTTTGCTCGCAAATGGCCTGTCAGCAGATGTTTCGACAGCTTGTATCAAGTTTGGGGAATATGACCAAACAACCATACAAGTTGAAATGTTGAATCTTCCGGAAGAAACTCAGAGTTCAAACATGAAGCTAACAGATTGCTTGCTGGACTGTGCGTTCTGAGCTGGCAGCATTTTGTCATGTCCCTAAAGTCTCACGCGAGTTGCTTTTCTGCTATGTTTACATGTTCATGTTGTGGCTCTCATAGCTGGCTCTCATAGCTGTTACATATACACGCGACATGTGAATGCTTGGAATGGGTACAAAATATCAGCACATCTGGGTTGGCATTGCATGATCTCGAAATGGAGTTCAGGCAACCTCCCTGTCTTCCAATCTGGTTGAACGTTTGGCATGGAAACAATTTCTGCTTTGTTGGCTCTTCTGGACCCCCCTCCTTGAAGGTTGTTGTTTTCTTGCTCTTGCTGTCCCGTGTCTTGCGTGGAAACCTGTGTGCGTGCGTCACCAAAAAAGTCGCACATTGTCGCATTAGCATCTTTGCGTGGTTGGGGTTTGAAGGCGAGTTGCGACACGTCTTGTAGTCTGCCAAGCAAAGCAAGCTTTGCTTTACAAGCAACAAACATGCTGTGTTGTGCCTTGAGGTTCAAGTGTTGCCGGACTTGCTCTCCTCTCATGCCAAGCCTCTGCAGCCACACGCAGGAATTGCGCGACAGCGAAGGACGGTACATCATGACCGGATCTCATCATCTCAATCAACTTCTCCAAAACCTGATAGACGAGACTTCTGCCGACTCCAGAGCTTCAGTGTTCGCTTGTTTGGGCACTAATCGTCCTATGTCTGGCCCACAGGGCCTCGTCCACTAGGCCATTCTTCAGGTAGCCCTTGATGACCAATGAGAAGCCACGCGCAGACATCTTCAAGCGCTCCCTCTTCATGACCGCCTCGTAATGCCGTACCTTATCGGGTTCACCTGCTGTAGCAAAGCCGCCCAGCAAGACGTCGTACATGCAGTTGCTGCACTTGATGCCTGGCTCTCGCCGAAATCGCACGCATGGTTGCGACTTGCAAGGCCCTGCCTGCTTCTGGCAGCAGCTCCCAACACTCCTGCATCAGCGCGGTCTTCCCCGAACGCGCAACCGTGTCCAAGATGGACATTGCCACGAACGTGGTTGTAAGAACCTGAGCGGAAGACGTGATCAAGACAATGCTGCGAGAAACACAATGTAGACTATGTCCAAATCAGCAACCTCCTCGTGGAGTTTGATGTGGGAGACGATCTCCTTGTGTGGCGGAATACTCATGCAACACGCATGACATGATCATCATGAACAAATGATGTCTGCCATGAAACTACGAGATATGACAGCCCTCGGGCAAGTTCGTCCTTCACAAGGGATTCGGGTTCTGCGTCGATGAAAGCTTGAACGACCACTTTGAACAGCTCCTCCCAGCACTGATACCAGAATGACAATGTGACAATTCACAAAGGTTCAAATATATGGCTGTTCAAATATAGATCTCAGACGTTCGCTCTATGATCACTGCAAGCTCGACCCACCTTGGGAGTTGGAGCTCCTTGTCCGAGCCTCCAGGCCTCCAAGTCAGGCGCGGATATTGCCATGCATGGACGCCTTCCGTGTTCATCCTCTCAGGCACGTTCCCAGCCCCTATCCACTTTGCCCGAAAAGATCCGGTGCAGCCTTGAGCACCTCCTTCGCATTGCCGGAAGAGGCCTGTCAAAAATACGTCAGCTCCTGTTGCAACAGACCCATATCCAAGCCACGCGGGGGCATAACTCAAAGTTAACTGCGTCAGTTCAGAGAAACTGGAAAATGACAGTCACCCTGCATGGAGTGTGTATAATTTGACACCAAAACCACGCAACGCAAATCAGAGGCATGGTGAGAGCCTTTCCGATAGTCTCCATTCTGCTTGCCTCAGCCTCAATGATCTTCTTCGACTTGCTGCTAAACTGCGCCGCTCTTCTTGAGCTCTTACCATAATCACCCTGCGTGCTCAAGCAGACTGGCAGATTGACAAAACGGTTTCACAAACGCGCCTTCTTTGCATTGCCAGGTCCCAGGAAACTGAAAACTCCGTTGCGCAGCAGCACGAAACCTGCAGTCTGTCCCCAATGACTGGGCAACGCCAAGCACAAGAGCATCATCTGGCGTGAGCCGAGACGCCCAACGCAAAGAAGATCATGAAAGACAATTCAATCCACATGGAGACCATGCCGGCACGCACAACCGGAAGCCAATCAATTGCTGCCATTTCAATATATGTACAAGGACGCAAGGGCGAAAGCTGCCGATGCGTCAAATGTAGGACCTTAGAATGCGTTGCCCCTGGTGTTGCAAGCACAAGCTTTACCAAGCTGCGCCACATAAAATTAAATGCTGGATGTCTTGTGTCAATGGTCAGAAAACATCTGGGGCCCACGCTTGTGTCCGTTGCCGTACTGCACAGACTAAATGTAAAGCTTTGGCCAAGGGGCCGATGTTGAACTTTGAAAATGCGGCGGAAGAAATGGTAAGGCATGAACCATGTTCTGCCAACTCGTCTATCTCAGCTGAATTTACAATGGTTGCTTGTTGCAAACATAGTGGCCACATGCGTGAACCCAAACTGTGGTGCAACAAGCACATACGGCTACGGCAAAGTTGAACATGTATCGACTAGTGTCCATATTCCAACTAGAAAGTACGTGTCCTGCACAATAAGGTTTGATTCGGTGATGCTACCAAGTATATCGCGCCGCACTCCTTCACATCATGCCATATGACGACAAAATGTCAACGTCTCCCCGCGGTAGCCTTTTATGCATTTCAACGTTGTGCGGTGGTTTCTGGTACATGCTGCAGGCTTCAAAACTGCACATATTTCGACACACGCAAACTTAGTCTACCTAATTTCCGTCATGCAATGATCTCGGCTTTCCATGCCTGCAATCCCTCTCACTCGCCCTCCACGGCACGCGCAGTTCCGTGCACAGAAAAACTATATTTTTGCGAAAACACTGTCCCGGTGTCCCCGTGTTACTCTTTTCTTGTTTGCCTCACAGCATTCCACTCGTGATGCAGTCCGCCTGCCATACATTGGCTCAAGGCTTGTGCGTTGCTTGTAGCTATCAGGAGACAGGAAAACCAGCGCGCTTTGCTGAGTCTGGCGCGTTGTGCATGGTTTCCATCAGACCAAACATTGCTTGCATACCTGGTCTTCGAATTCTTCCATTGCAGCAGAGAAAATCCTCAACCAAGGACCTCCAAGGACATTGTTCAGGTCGTTGGGGGCCCTCTAAAAGCGAACCTCACTTGTGGCAGCGGAGCAGGTTCTCCGAATGTTGAGTGAAGAGGACTTCCACAGAGCAGTTGAGTTCCCATGAAACCATCAATCTTTCGAACACAGTTGCCTCCATCGTACGGCTGTAGTTGGCTTCGGTATGAAGATCTAGGCATTGGATTACATTCACAGTAATTGAGACACGGCCCCCTTCTCAAGAACCGGCTTGTGCCACAGACCGTGAACTCCTGATGAGAAACTCACAGATCCGAGAATTGAATGGAGTATTTTCTCAACTTCCTGTGTGGCTGCTTCTTGAAAGGGAAAAGAAAACTGTGTGTTGATTCCTCGGTTTTTCAACATCGCTGCGGCAACGGTGAGTTTGTGACTTTCAAGAGCAAGTTCGAAAATCGCAGAAGAGAAGACTGTGAGCATCTTGGAAGACACAGCTCCAGAATATGCTCATACATTGCTGGAGCATATTCAAGCCTCAATTCCTTCTATCCTGAGCATTTGTCTCACAAACATCAATCTTAAATTGGGATTTGCGCGCTGACTTCCTTTAACTTTTTTTGATCCACGCGGCCGTTGCAATATCGCCAGTCCGCTGTTATAGCGCAAAAATGAGGAAAGACAGAAACGGTGTCGAAGATAAACCCAAGCCAACCAACACAAAAAAAAAACACACACACACACACAACAAACAAACACGACACCCACAAGGATCTTCGACACAAGGGGCATGACGCCGCCCGTCACCGACATGAAAGCCAGTGGCGACAGGTTGAAAAATAAGGGCACCGATCCGGAGACCAAGGTCTCAACACATCAAGAAACCCCACGTCAACGTCTACTAGTCAGGTTCGGAAACAGAAGTCTCAACAAACCCGCAAAAAAGAGATTCTAGGCCAAGTCAACAAGACGACAGGTCAGGAAACAGGAGTCCCAACTGACCAATCATCGATTGAAGGAAGAGCCGGAGCACCTCAAACGAAGGCCGACTTCGAGTGAAACAACGCCCAAAATACTACACCGCGCAAGCTATGTACGGAAAAGAAGATCCACGAAATGTCAAACCAAATTCCAAGCGCACCAGCTCATCTCCTCACCCTGCTGCCCAAACTTGCCAAGAAAACCGCCAAGGCTCCTGAAAAGATGAAGTTCGGGAGCGACCCCGCAGAGCACCGATCAAGAATAACCAAAAACGTCCCCGCTGCAACAAAACACGCAACAATAACAAGGCCGCGTATAGGGTGAAGCCACCAAAAAAATCGAGCCATCGGGAGCGACTCCTCCGTGCACCAATACCACATTGACACCAAAAGCCCGAAGTCAATCAAAGCCAAAAGCGGCGCAGCGCACGCACAATTATCAAAGTTGCACATGGAAAGCATGGCGCCAAAGGATTAGCACAAAGCCGCCGAGGGTGCCCTGTGGATACGCTGCCACCGCCAAACATAGGATGCAAAGAGCAATCGAAGGCATCCAACGCGTCGCATCGTAGTCGCATGACTACCAGCGTCGAAGGGCCATACCATACTGCAATCATGAAAACTGCAAAAAAGAGGCACCAAAAGACGCCGCCGCGTCGCACATAAAAATCGCCGCCGCGACGAAGACGCCATTGCCAAAGCCACGTAAGTCGCAAATAAGGAATGCAAAGCAGAGACCAGAACCTCGAATGCGACCACTCCGCAAGCACAATCATCAGCCTAATAGATGCAATGGGTCACCTCTGAGACACACATGAATAAGGAAGTTGCGGGGGCGACGCGGCGCGCTCATACTCTAAGTCCGCAAATACCATAGTCCCAGTTGCAGCGAACGAAGGGCCTCACATAGGCAATGTCTAATGCATATCATGCCACGGCAAACGCTGGGTGTCAATAGCAAACTGCTGGGAGTTCATCTGCAAATATCAAGCCGACAAGAGCGACCTCGCAGTACGCCAGTACCACTGCTAATCAAATAAGCTGCAAGACAATGAGTCCACACAAAGAAGAGATGCGTAACAGGATCAGAGCTTTACTAAAGTCTACACAGAGTACGCGATTTATACCCTGCCATAGCATGAGCCATACCCATAATCGAGCAGTCAAACAGGTAGAAGAGAACACGAACAAAAATGCTTCCAGCAGGCAAAGCCATGAAGAGATCACCAAAGACATTTAAAGAGGAAATGGAAAGGAAGGGAACTCCAATCAACACTCCACTTCAACCGAGCAAATGAGTGCCAAGCGGCTCGGACCAGAGGGAGCACGTACGAACACTTTTCTAAATCGAGAGAGGTATGGCGGACTACGCGGGCGGCAAGAGTCTGCAAGGTAACGGCACGCAAGTGTATCTCACCGCAGTAATACTTTCAACTTGCAACATCCGCGTTGACACCGCCAAGCACCGCATCTTGCTCATGCGTCATTCACAAACAAAGTTCCGTCGCTCTCCACAACAACATTAACAGTGGCAATAACAATTCTTCGTGGGCAGGCAAGAACAATCTTTAGATGATTTGACATGACAGCGCGTATGAAACAGAATGTAGACTCTGACAGAAGGCAATTGGCAAGGCACGTGCAACACTTGGATGTGGTGGTGCAGAACAGGAGAAAGTCCGTTTCAAGACCTTCAACTTTCTTCAAGAAGTGAAGCGCGCTGAATTCAAAGAAGGGAAAGCGAAGTTTGAGTGAGCTCAATAACAGGTCTTCAAACCTTGCGTTAGCTTCTAACACACGTACATTCTGCTTATGGCCTTGGATCATCAGCATGTGGTGCAGCAAACAGCTGATGGCTGAAGGCAATCCACTCGAGCAAGATACTAAGTCCACATTGAGGGAGCGAACGCAACTCGCAGTGCAACATGATCGTCATCACCATCATCACCATCATCATCATCATCCATCCATCACTCACATCACCTTCTTTGTTGTTGTCGTCATCATCCTCATCAAGGTGATATTTGTCATCCTCATCACTATCATGATCATGATAATGACTATCATCAGTTGACGCGCAAGACAAGCGAAGAGCACAATGACAATACTGCTGCGATCCCACAACTTTTGCTTCTTTACAGCTTCCGTTGGATATTGTGGTTCGGGCACGAGCCTGTGCCCAGGCAATGGGTAAGTTGGGGTAAACAAGCCACAAGAGAAAGGTTCCCCAAAAGCAAACCAATCCCCGGTCCCAAAGATCAGGGTTTCTGTTTTTTTTTTCACCTGTGCCAAGACGCCTGCAAGTAAGTCGGAGTCTCATGTACACATGCAAAATCGTGTGAAAACTAACGTGGTGTACAACCAAGTCAACACACGTATCCACAACTGTGCAAGGGAGCTAAATGGTTAGCATCCCGCCTCAAATATGCCTTTCACTTTATGAAGGCATCATTTGAAATCTTTTAGCTCAGCACCATTGCTCTGCTGGCAACGAATGCTATGCTTTCTCATGGCCGTCACGGCTCAAACAAAATCTGAATTCTATCTACTGCAACTAGCATTTACACATCGCCCGCAAAGCTTGGGCTCCAAGTTGGTTCCCTTATCTCACCCTCCTGTGGCGCGTACATCATGTAACCACGCAAAGGGAGTATTCAAGGGGTCGAGATTTAGTTTGGGATTTTTTGTTTTATTTTTGCGAAAGGGTTTGAAACAGTATTTCGAGAGAATAAACAGGCCCTAACCCACCAACAAGAAGAGACAGTTTAAGCCCCCCAGTCCCAAGGGCAAAGTGGTGCCCTCGGCTGGCAATGAACCACACAGATAACAAACGGGGGATCCTGTTTAACCGCAAAACCCAAACAGGAAAGGGGACCAGCGCAGCCAACCAAGCGAGCGCAGCAAGCAAGCGAGCAAAGCAATTAACCAAGCAAAAGCGGAGCAGCAGCAACAAAGCAAACCCCAACACAATCCTGACCCACGCCCAAGAGCGCCCAGCCGCCGTACTCCGGGGCGTGGGGTTCGGTCACCCACGCACCGGGACGGCGCCGCTGCCAGCGCTTTTGTCGGCAATGGCGGGATGAGTCGCCGGGTTGTAAACTTGAGCCAAATACCGCGTTGGGTAATGGCGTACTACAAACTGCTATGATAAAAGTACATGCCCCCAAAAACACCCCCCTCGCCTGTACAAAGAGAGGAAGTGAATTTGGAAGGGCGCATTGGCCGTATTGAAGTTGAAATGCAATAAACAAGACAAACAAAGCCGATTAGGCTACCAGGGTTCGCGACCCCATACC